GCCCTGGCAATGACATGCCACCCTAGGAAACTCACTTGTGTTAACTGATCCCTCCCAGCTAGTCAAGTGATTTCCCCTCCCCCCCCGCAGTGCCTCTCACTCATGTACACAGGGTGCTAGAGGGCTTCAGCTACTGGGGAAATGGCCAGGATGCAATGTCTATTAGTACACATGGTGGGGATGTTGGCAGACTAAGTCTCCTGCACTGCAGCCTACAAGCTTTGGTGCGCTAGCAGAAGGGCCACAGCCAGGAGTGGGTGATGAGAGCCCACAAGGAGAGTCAGGGAGAAGTTAGAGAAGGAAGACAGAAGTAAACCCCACCTATGACATGCTGAAGCTAAGCATCTGCCTTCAGAAAGGCCAGTTCATTTGGCAAGAATGCTAAGGGCTGTGAAAGAGGAGGCTCTTCTAACCCGACAGTAATCTTGTGGGACAGAAATACAACAAACAGAAGCAGAGGGAAATGCAAGACAAGGGAAGGCTGCCTCGTGCCTTTTGACATTACAAAGCTGCCAAAAGAACCATTTTTTTTGTAAACTTTAGGAAGTGCCCTCAGGGCTTGCCCTAGAATAAAGATGGAAATCTTCCAGGAAACCCAGCCCCTCAGGCCATCCATCACCACCAAGGCATGCTTGGTATAATAATACTTAGTACTTACTAGCATTTTTTAATTTTCAAGTCATTGGACAAATATTAAACATACCAGGATAAATCATCAGCTCAGGAGGCTGAAGTGTCCAGATTATTACTGAAGGCACTCTGGAATGGCAGTACAAATCACTGCTTACACATACTCCTTGCCAGAGGTAGATTCAAAGGGCAGCTAGCTATGGAAATGGAGTTGCAGCACTCATGGAGCAATGCAATGCCCTGTTCCACAAACCCAGCTCCTCTTCCAGCCTTCCCAATTCATTATCTGCCTTCTGCAATCTGCACTGCTCCTCTTTCCTCAGCCACAATGGTAGAATCAGAGTGGGAGGCATGAGCACTCTCCCAAGCTTTGTCTATAAACCGAGCCCCAAACACTTGAAATCTGAAACAAGTCACTACTCTAAGTAGGTTGTCCAAATATTCATCATCTGATGATCCCTCTTCTTTCTGAGTGCTTTGATCAGCAAGTGTAAGGGGTAACAATGTTGACAGTTATATTGTGGTCACTAAGTTTCAGAGTGAACACATGTGAGGTGACTAATAAGGACAGTTTACACCTTACTTGGTGCTATCAGTTTAGGCTGACTGCAGACACAGCCCGATGGTCACTGTATTGGTTTATATCCAGCTCACATTCTGAAGAATACCTATGCAATCATTAAGGCTGGTGACCAGACTCTTTATAAATAAAAGCAGATACTGAAGCACAGACAGGCAGAAAAAAAATCTCCAGAAAGAACTACTACTTGCTGAGCCAGCTGCATCTATTCAACTGTGGCTTGGCTACTCTCCCTTCTGATTACCACCAGCTGGAAGGGGAGGCAGTACCAACACTTTAGTGCTTCCCCATCCACCAGGGGATGAACAGGCCTGGGAATACTCAGCTGGTGGGAAGGAGCATCAGTGGGAGGAAACAAAGAGGAGTGCAGTTTTGAGATGAGGACAACAACAAATAGGGTAGGTGATCATAGAATGATAGAGTTAATGATTCTAAGGAATGGTAGGAGGGAGAACAAAATAAAGACAATGTATTTGAATAAGGCAGACTTTAGCAAACTCAGGGAGTTGGTAGGTAAGATCCCATGGGAAGCAAGTCTAAGGGGAAAAACAATAGAAGACAGTTGGCAGTTTTTCAAAGAGACATTATTAAGGGCACAAGAGCAAACTATCCCACTGCATAGGAAAGATTGGAAGTACGGCAAGAGACCACTCTGCCTTAACCAGGAGGTCTTCAATTATCAAAAAAAAAAAAAAAAGTACCAACAAAAAGTGAAAACAAGGTCAAATAAAGGATGAATATAAACAACTAACACAAGTATGTAGGGGCAAAATTAGAAAGGCCAAGGCACAAAACGAGATCAAACTAGCTAGAGACATAAAGGGTAACAAGAAAACATTCTGCAAATACATTAGAAGCAAAAGGAAGATTAAGGACAGGGTAGGACCATGGGTGGGGAAATAATAACAGAATGTGGAAATGGCAGAGATGCTTAATGACTTCTTTGTTCCAGTTTTTACCAAGAAGGTTGGTTGTGATTGGATGTCTAACGTAGTGAAGACCGGTGAAAATGAGGTAGGATCAGAAGAGGCTAAAATAGGGAAAGAACAAGTTAAAAATTACTTGGACAAATTAGATGTCTTCAAGTCACCAGGGCCGGATGAAATACATCCTAGAATACTCAAGGAGCTGACTGAGGAGATATCCGAGCCATTAGCGATTATCTTTGAGAAGTCATGGAAGACAGTAGAGATTCCAGAAGACTGGAAAAGGGCAAATATATGGTGCCCATCTATAAAAAGATAAATAAGGACAACCCAGGGAATTACAGACCAGTCAGCTTAATTTCTGTACCCGGAAAGATAATGGAGCAAATAATTTGCAAACATCTAGAAGATAAGAAGGTGATACGTAACAGTCCCATGGATTTGTCAAAAACAAAATCGTGCCAACCCAACCTAATAGCTTTCTTTGACAGTGCAACAAGCCTTGTGTATAGGGGGAAAGTGGTAGATGTGGTATATCTTGATTTTAATAAAGCTTTTGATACTGTCCTGCATGACCTTCTCATAAATAAATTAGGGAAATGCAACCCAGGTGGCATTACTATAAGGTGGCTGCAAAACTGGTTGGAAACCCATTCCCAGAGAGTAGTTATCTGAGAGAGTGGCTCACAGTCATGCTGGAAGGGCATAACGAGTGGGGTCCGACAGGGATCAGTTCTGAGTCCAATTCTGTTCAATATCTTCATCAATGATTTAGATAATGGCATACAGAGTACACTTCTAAAGTTTGTGGACGATATCAAGCTGAGAGGGGTTGCAAGTGATTTGGAGGATAGGATTAAAATTCAAAATGATCTGGACAAACTGGAGAAATGGTCTGAAGTAAATAGGATGGAATTAAATAAGGACAAATGCAAAAGTACTCCATTTAGGAAAGAACAGTCAGTTGCACACATACAAAACTCCTAGGAAGGAGTACTGCAGAAGGGAATCTGGGAATCATAGTGGACCACAAGCTAAATATGAGTCAGTGTAACACTGTTGCAAAAAAAGGAAACACGATTCTGGGATGTATTAGCAGGAGTGTTGTAAGCAACACATGAGAAGTAATTCTTCTGCTCTAATTAGGCCTCAACTGGAGTATTGTGTCCAGTTCTGGGCGCCACATTTCAGGAAGGATGTAGACAAATTGGAGAGAGTCCAGAGAAGAGTGACAAAAATGATTAAAAGTCTAGAAAACATGACCTATGAGGGAAGATTGGAAAAAAAAATTGGGTTTGTTTAGTCTGGAAAAAACAAGACAGAGGGGACAGGATAGCAGTTTTCAAGTATGTAAAAGGTTGATACAAGGAGGAGGAAGAAAAATTGTTCTTCTTATCCTCTGAGGATCGGACAAGAAGCAATGGGCTTAAATTGCAGCAAGGGAAGTTTAGGTTGGACATTAGGAAAAACTTCCTAACTGTCAGGGTGGTTAAGCACTGGAATAAATTGCTTAGGGAGGTGTTGGAATCTCCATCATTGGAGATTTTTAAGAGCAGGTTAGACAAACACCTGTCAGGAATGGTCTAGGTAATTAATCCTGCCTCGAGTGCAAGGGACTGGACTAGATGAGTTCAGGTCCCTTCCAGTTCTATGATTCTATGGTGACTAAAGAGAAGAAAGAGCCAGTGCAGCAATAGGAACGGGTGAAATGGAGGGAAGAGATGACCAAGTGCAGGGGAGTAGAGTGACCAAAAAAGTGGTAGAGGAAAGACTGAAAAGTCAGAAAACCCTGACGTTTAAGATAGATATGGGAAAAGAGGTTCAATCAGAAGAAGGGAAAAGGCCTTGACTAGTGGGAGAGGTAGAATTAAAAAAAAACTAGATCAAACCATTTTAAAGAGAATTAAAATTTGACTGAGGGAAAACACGGAGACTGATAAAAACAGGAAAAAGCAGCATCAAAATTTGGACAACAAATGTATGGAGTAGGGGCAAAAAAAAAAAAGTTTTAAAAACGGATATAATGGTGGTTTCCAGTGAAGCAAAGTTTAAACATTTCCTGGGCTTTGACTGGGCAAAGTTTGATAATTTATTATTATTTTGTCTCATTTACATGTCACTTGTCCTCTGTGTACAAATAAAAGGCCACAGCCATGATCTTGCACATATTTAAGCATATGCTTTCATAGTATGTAATAGCATGGGGAGTGGGAGAGGGATGGAGAGAGGGCAAAATAAATGGGCCACTTCTCTATTTCCTGCACAGAGAGGGGCAGAGGGGCCAGGAACCTGAGCCAGGTTGATTTCCTAGTGTAGACACTATGACAATATATATAATTTTTTTTCTGCACTGGTGCAGTTTCACCAGTGGTAGTCAATGATGAAAACTGTAAAGTAGAGGAGATGCTGGTGTCTGTCTATACAATGGAACAACTAATCTCCTGGGGGCAATATTACTGTCACTATAGGTAATTCAGTTTTTATACTAGCTCATTTTTAGGCCTTTTCTGAAGAGAATCACTTATTGTGATTGTGTATTGGTTTGTAAGAATGTGAACTAATCAGGAAAGGAAACCCTAAAGGAAAAATGTGCTTCTCAAATTCTGTCAGGGTGGTGGTTTTTTTTGTTTTTTTAAAAGACCCTAGATTGAAGAAGAAATAGAAGTCTCATTTGTAACTGTGAATGAGAAATCTTCTTGACATACTAATTTTTGTTTTCTTTAATTTAGACCAAAAATAAATCCAGTGGATGCTAAAGAAAAAAAAAAAAAAAAAAAAAAAAAAACAACAC